TCAAAATATAAGAATTTTACATTTTTAATAGAATTTTTTTAATACGCATCTCAGGCGTATTAAAAAATGCAAATAAAAATGTAAAATTTTATGTTAAATAATTTTAGAAGTGTAAAATCAATAATACAAAATTGTAACAACTAAATATTATTTGTAGAATCTTTATTGGTTACAACAATAAACATAATATACATTTTCTGAATAAACAACTATATTAAATAACATAAAACAAACAAAATTTTTCTATAATCGTGCGAAATAAAATAAGTGTTCCAGCCATAAATCTTGAAACGAAAAACAAAAACAATCGTTGAAAGCGAAAAACTGCTTATTAAGACACATGATTTTGATTGTATGTGACTCATTACTAATTTTTAATTTACTACTTATAATTTCTTTAATGGCTAATTAAGATTTTCTTGCTTTTTGTAATGAAAATACTTTGGATTTATCAAGATTATAAAGCTTTGTTATTCGCATATCTAGAATAATTATTATCAAAATGAATATCAGAATTAAATTTTTGTTAAGCATTTCAATATTTGGGAATAATACAATTACGAATTATATTCATTTTTTTCTGAAAAAAAAGTCATTCCTTACAAAAAATTCTGCTTGTTGAAAAAAATTACAAGAAAAGTTTCCTTTTAAAGTTATGAAGAAAAACCGACAGGAAAACTGTGACTTTTCTTCGTAAAATCAATAGGTAATACAGATTTTTGTCAATTTCAAGTTTCTTCATTTATTAAGACCCTGTACACCTGACCTAACATATTAATATAGTAAACCTATTTTTTCGTCAAACAGATTTTTTTTATAATGACTTCTTCCTTAAAATAAAAATAAAGATTTTCCATTTTGTCAACTCCATACAGGAGATGTTTAAAATATAACATTTTACTTTAAATCTAATATACCTACATAAGTAAATATAAATTGACGCTAAACTTTACGTGACGTTAACTAGGCACCTACCTACATTTTACTAATAGGTTTATAACTGACAAACTGACCCATAACCTAGGATTTTTTTTTAAAGCCGGGCCAAGATGAGTTTGGTACACAACATGGCGACGGCAAAAGTTGCGCACTGGCTGTTGCCTAGCAACGACGCTCGGTGAAGCCAAACTTAGTCATTCAGTGGCGTAACTTGGGTCGAGTATATACAAAGTGAATAGGGACCGTGCGTGAAATATAGAGGCAGCACTACTGCCGAACTTAGCCCTCTCTAGTGTTTAATTTTAGAATTAAATGGGATAAACATTGCAAGTAAATAATAAAGGGTATTTTTTTAAATATTAAATATAGTTAAAAATAGATACCGGCCCGTACCAAACAATCGTGTACATGGTCAAAATGACGTAAAATGTGAAACATTATTAAAATCTGGACATGCATATACATTTTAAGCAAAAAAATTTAAATGGCTAAGTGACAATAAATTGTAAAGTTGTACCTTAAACAAGTGTATCCAATGTTAAAATATCGGTATTTAGTAACACTGAATTTAAAAGTATTACAATAACATTTAAAAAATGTAAATTAATAAAAAAAATTGATAATAATAATTATAAATCTTTTTAGCTTTATGTTAATCGAAATGTCATTCATCCACTGGCGTTTATGAGATGTTCAATGATACATATATTATAGATTGCTCACCCAACTATAAAAAAATTATGAAAAGCGGGTTGCAATGTGCCTTTCCTAGTGCTCACTAAATAGAGCCGTTCTAGCCCAAATGTGTTTTAAAATAAAATTTCAGCATTTTAATCTTTAGAAAAAGAAAATAATTAAAGTTTTACTTCAAGACATGTCATTATATGTATTTGGAAAGTTGAGTTTTCATGTAGTTAAATAATATTAAGAGATCTAAACAATTTTTATAACAGATGAATATAAATAATTTTAGACTACTACTTCAGAAACAATTCTACATAAAATACATAATTGCAATATGTAATACAATTTTGAAAAGGTAATGTAAACAATTTTAATATGAGGTATAAACAACTTTGGTAAGAGTTGTAATTGGACACTTATCTATTATTCTGAATAATGTTTAATGGTAATGTAACTAAAAAAATGTACAAAAAATCACTGGATTTTTAATATTTTAAAGTTTGTTGCAATCTCTTTTGACAGTAATTGCAATGTATTATTTATGATTTGTTTATTTTAATAATAAATGAGAAATAGTTAATAAATTGTAAAGAGGGCCGTGATATTTTTGTCAAATTGGTCATTCTTATTTCATAACATTCTACATTAGTTTTAATCAACAGAATAAACCATTATCTGTAAAATTATATTTATATAAAATGTTCATTTAAATATGTAAAAATCTTAATGACAAGAAAACACTAAAGATTCTAATTTCTAAACCGGTTCTGTAAATGATTTCTTTACAACTAAGTGCTCAAAATTGATACAAGCTAGATAAAAAGAAAACTTTGCCCAGTGAAATACGCTTTTCGTCGTCTGATTTACATATGGATAAGCAATCTTTGTAATTATGTATATCATTGGGTGTGAGGCATAATTTTGCTCTGTGGAAATTTATAAAATTTCTTTACTATCGAATGAAATCCAGGTTTCTAAAGTGATGTGTTTGTACATCCACGGATGCAACAAGTTTTTTCGATATTGATATTACGAAAATAATTCGACTTCATTTTATTAATAATTGGCCGTGTTCATCGTCGTCAAACATGTTGTAACGCTGAGTTAAGCGGCGACGATGAACTGTCAACCGCTGCAGCGCTTTTGAAGAAGCATAAAAGCGAAAATAAACTCGCTTGTTTGCTTTAAAAGCATAAAATTGACCTTGAACCCCTGTCAAATCCGTCTTTTGGCATTTTGTTAGGTTATGTTTGTTTATTTATTTATATTTTTAAGGTTTTATATCCTAATAGAGTTGATTAGTTAAGTTGTATTTTAATATAATATTGTATTTATGCCATTTATGGAGGTACCTGTTTGAAGAAAATAAAATTAATTCCAGACGTAGATACATACACGTATGCTTAAATTATTTCATTTGGACGTTAATGGGATTCCACCAGTAAGGAATATGGATAACATACCTACATATTATATAGTTTTAGCACAGAGTTATTCAAAACAGACGAGTTTTGTTATTAAAACTGCACCGATGTTTTTTGTTTTCATGTAATGTATATAGGGCATTAAAAAATAAATAATAAAAGTATAACATTTTATTTACAAAATAAATTAAATATAAGCAATTATATTAAAAAGGGCCCACCTTGGTTTGTTGAACCTATAAAAAAATACCTCATTACTGTATACATTTCAAATAATTTTTGCTAATAAGTCGCTCTACCTATATGACAACATTAAATTTGTATATTTATTAATTTCCAATACAAAATATATCATTCCTATAAAAGAATTACTGTATGTAGTTTGTCGATAATACTAGACAAATTTTATTAAAACAAAAATAATTCAGACTCAATATGAATATTAGCAATGACCAAAAATGTATAACACCTAAGTACCTACATAAAAAATACTTTGTAAAAAAATAAGTAAAGCATTAGATAGGGATTATTTTAACAATTTTCGGTTTTTGTAATAAAACGTTATCATTTCTTACCTCACAGCAAGAAGCCTGTAAATTTTAAAAGACAACAGCATTATTTTTAATGTAGAATAACAACATTAAGATTGTAGTAAAAGTAAAACAATAATATAATAAAAAAATGTATTAAAAATAAGTGAAATAACATAATTTTATATTTATTTATTGAAAATTAGAAAAGCGAAATAAAACTTGTTTAGTGGGCTGATTTTCTATATTTTAGTTTTTAAATGGGAATGGAACTGTTGACGTGACTTGTTTATGTTATGCTTGGTTTTCAACACTGATACTTCAAATTAAGTAAGTTTTTTTCACTAGCACATATTTATATGAGATACCATCCTTTTTTGATAAAATGTTTTGAATCAGATCACGTTTTCTTTTAAAGCGGGACATTTTTGCATTCTTTGGGGACAATGGTACACATAACTTGAAAGTGGGTTTGTCTTGCCTTAAGCGGGACTTATGATGTTAGGTATGACTCAAAAATAAAAGTTTACTTCAGGTTGATTTTCATTTTTATCTCTTCCTCCTTTTTCGATTCAGTTAGTTTTGAACTGGTTTGAGACACATGCCTCAAGTTCCCTAAAAATAAGAAAGTCATAGTTGATCTCTCTATTATTATACACTTTTATGTATCCTTGATATATGTAAAAAGATCACTTTTTGAGATGTATGTTATTAGTATCATGAGTTCCTTTACTTTAATTTATTGGTGCAGACCAGACAGTTGATTAAACGCAATACACAATAAATAGCATTCTCATTCTGCTCTTCAAAGTATGTAGAATTCAATATCCATAGAGGCAATAAAAACATGACTTTACAACCCAAAATAATACAAGTTGTAGGTTTTTCGCCGTAAAATTGTCAAAACTACTTCCAGAAGGGTACTTATATAAACTCTAATTCACTGTACAAATCAATTCAACTCAAAATTTTTTAAAAAATACTAAAGTAAACAATTCACATAACCTTCTTTGTGCCAACCAAATGTCATTCTATTTTTTGACAAATTTGAGGTTGAGAAAACAAATCATAAACAATAATGATCGTTCAGCGTCATTCCAACCGCTTATGAAACATGTTTCTTTGCTTTTAAAACATGTTTGACGACGATGAACACGGCCATTATTAAACAATAAATGCCGTATAAAACATTAATAAATACCCCCCAAAAAGTTCACATTTTTGTCACCAGTTAGCGTTAAAGTCATGACGCACGGTCCCTATAGTAAAAGAAAATCAAAGTATGTGTTTAAAAGGCACTCAGAAAGCTGCGCAGTGCGACCATTCTCCGCATAGTAAAAGAAAATCAAAGTATGTGTACAATATGCACATTGGCTTTCTACCCCACTCCAGTTCATTGAGATTTTCAAACGCGGCATATGAATATACTTATTTGAATATATTCTTGAGTTGATGTTAATCCTGCAGGTAACTATATTACCGACAGAGTAGGATTAGTTCTACAACCCCCCCAAAGGTCGTTGCAATCAAACATGTTGCCAACAAATTTCTACAAAAAGACACGCCTTCGTCCATGTCATAAGTCATAACATAACCCTCAATCCAGTCCTAAAAAAATGGAAAATTACAAAAAGGGTAAAAACATTGAGGAACCTCTCGAAAGAGACAAAATCCCAATTCCTAATCTTCCACCAAACTTCCTTTGGATGCAGGTATGCTGCTGTAACTGAAATACATTTTGAATTTTAAAAATTAATTGATGTACATTTTAAGGTAAAAGGTGGAAGTAAGATTCGTAATCTTTTATCACATGCAATTAACGAATTTCCAGAAGTTAAACATGTAATCTGGACAGGTTTTGGACCATCTGTAGGAAAATGTATCACATGTGCAGAAATAATGAAGAGAGAATTTAATAATTCTTTACATCAAATAACCAAATTATCCTATAGAAAGTATGCATATATAATTGTTCATCTTTAATTCAGGCAGGTATAAATGCATATGTCTGCACCATTGATGCTCTGATAATGGAAAATCGGATAATCTTGTAGTTAAAGGATCTGGAAATGCACCTGTTTGCACCATTCCTGTTCCGGCTAGTTCTGACAGTTGGAATCGTTACATATAGTTACCAGGTTATATTTAATTATTTGGAACCAGGGAATAAGTATATTGAAATAACTATTTTACTTTTAATCATCTATTTACCAATTTTTACATCGATTAAAAATCCCATAAAAATTAAAAAAATGTTTTAAGATTTTCAAGTAATACGATCGTTATTTTTAATGTCAGTAATACCTTTTAATAGTGATAATTACAAAATTCAAATTTATGTCAAATTCGAAATCTAGCCGTCTACAAGATTACTGGGAATCCTTACATAGTTGCTAGGATACAATGTTTTTTTAATCTAGAAAAAAGTAAATTTGAGTTATCAGAGATTTTGAGTACAAGAAAAATTAAAAATATTTTTAGATTTTGTTTTTTCTTGCCTTCAAAATTAAAAAAAAAATTAAAAATAAAGGGCAAAACAATAATGGAAATATTACAATGCGGCAGGTGCAAAGTTTAAATTCTAAACGTCAGTGTGGACATTTGCATTTATACACACCTAGACTACAGGATAATTATTACCATTTTTTTTATATGATCAAATAATTTCATTTTATACAAAGCACCATGTACTTTTTTAGAGTTGATGAATATTGGGATCCTATACTCTCTGAATTAGATCAATTAATTGTTAAAAGAAGGCTACCAATGATTCATATATACTTATCGACTGAAAATTTAAATACAGAAGAATTAGGGTAAGTAGGATTTATATTTTCTCAGAATTGGTGAGTTTTAATTTAATTTTTTAGATATCAAGCTCCAGGAGAAACTATTGCATTTAATAAAGATGGTCAAAATAAAAGAACCTCACACAATAAGAAATTTGGAGGCCAATACATCAAAAGTAGGAATAAAAACAAAGCCACAAATGGCAATGAAAAAAGTAGCTCTAGCAATACAAAAAATGAGAATGGATAGTTCCACATATTCAATAAAAATGTTATTGCATTATTTTTATTTGAACCCCAGACCTAACGTTTAATTAATATGATTCTAAAGTGTCTAAACAGGTTTAAAAAGATTCTAATTTATAAATTAATCCAATTCCATTTTTTCATAGGAGTGCAACAGTCCTTTTGACCTGAGACTTTTCACTACTTTTTGAGTTTCCCTATCCTTAGCTATTGTAAAGTTTATTTACAATTTCTTTAGATCAACTTATTTTTAAAATCGATTTATATTTGTCAAAAAATAAAGAGGTGAAGAAATAAAAACAATTTATAAAAGTGCCTAATATTTAATTTGTTATATACACAGAATAATACAGTTTATTTACCAGGTACACTTCATAATAAGCAATTTTTAAATTTACACAATATTTACCTGATGCAATTAAACATCTCACAATTATTTTTACAATTTTATGTATTTAATAAAAACAAGACTTGAAAGCTCAACATAAAGATAATTAAAACTGGTTAATTATGAAATGTCATGATTTTTAATTTGTCAGAGCAATTTGAAAAGTTAAGGGATTTGTGGCACAACCAGGACAAGTATGTAAAGTTTCATGCACAAAAATATCACAATCGATGCAAAAATACTTCTTGCAGTTAGGACAATTGTAAACCTAAAAAATGCACCATTAATAATTTTAAGTTGAATAAACTTTTTATAGCTAAAAGTACCTGTTTATCAAGTTCTCCAAACAGTTTCTGACAAGCAAAACAAACAAAAGTTTGATTATTAAAATTAACTTCTATATAGTTAGCAGCAGGAAACAAGTGATGATAAGATCTAGCCAAATGAGGTGCTGACACTAGGGTTAAACCACATGCCCTGCATTCTACTGGCAGCTCACAATATTTACTGAAACACTGAGGACAGTAGTAGCCTCCTGAAGTAAGCTTACTCCCATCTTCTGTACTATCTACATGGCTAAAATAGAAGTTAAGATTAAACAGATGGTTCATTTATCAGTCTAAGTTCCAACCTGTCAATTCCATTAAAATTTGTTTTAGGATAATGACAAAAACTACACTATACTAGTATTATCGAAAACAGGAAGTAATAAAACTGCGTGATTACAGCAAGTTTAGGATATTTTTCAGACACTCTTATTTTGTTTGCAGTGGCAGACGATTGATTTTGTGTGTGTATCTGTTTAGTGTTTTAAAATTTGCGAATTTCGGTCTCTAGAGCATATTATGAATACTGGATCAGCAAGTACGAACCTATGCCAGCAATTGCCAAAAAAGAACTAAAAAGCATATTATATCAGCAGCTTTTATTGGAGAATTATTCATCTTGGTTGAGGTGGGCATTGAATTTGCAAATATTTTTAAGGTCATCACCTTATCATTGTGAATTCAATCCTAATTACTGGTGAGGAGCCTTAATTTACGCAGCGATTCTGACACCTCTGACTCTGATTAATAAAGGCAGATTAAAAGTAATATTTAAATTTTAATTAATGTTTTGCCATAAAATTCACAGGTTTTTTGTATGGTTTTGATTTAGTATAGTATCTATTATAAAACCATGCAAATTAAGCCAGTATTTAGTTGAACTAGAGATCTATGATTCATGTGAGAGGCAATATAAGCATGTGGCCTTCACATGATCACTCTGTTCGATAATCCTAGAATAATTTAAATGTTTTCCATTACCAATAAACGATATTTTCTTCCAATGTGTTAGAAACTAAAAATATAACTCAATAAATGTGTGGTCACCCATTTGGTTATTTTTATATAAATTGTGGATATGTCAGTACATTGGTGGTACATGTCCGATATTGGCATAAAATTCTGGATTGAAAAAGAAAAGGGTCTATGAACAAAGTGCATGAAAGAACAATAAGCTATCACTCTCCCCAATATTCCCTACTCACGACATAAAATAATACTTTTAACACTTGTATCATAAATAGCTTTGATCTTGATAATTAGGTAATAAAAAATATTTATGTATAAAAATATTGGAAGTATGTTCTATTCTAATAGTAAACTTAATAATGTGCAAGACGAGAGAAAAATTATATTATTCATTTTAAGATTAATTTGAACCTGCACTAAAAACTATATGTAACAGAAAATACAAACAATAGGTACAATAACAAATTTTGCTCTTCGAAATTCCAAACAAATACAATTATAAATTAAAAGCCCACTGATGTTCTTTTTTCAAAAATAGAATTTTTATGTTTAACAAAATTGTTTATAATTAGTTGCGGTTCAAATTTTCAATGGTAATGTATTAAAATTCTTTGGCGCCATAATTGCAGTAAATCATTAGCTGGCTTATCTTCTAAATGGAACAATAATCATGTTAAGAATATGTCTTGTCTAATATTAATGAGTAACATAATTTTTAGTTTTAAAACAATATATACAATTGCTCATAGAGACATCGAATATTTAGGATATACCGATTATATAACAGATCAGTTGTAAAAAGTGTGTCTTCAAAAAATATTACATGCAAAATAGTTTTGTACTACTTTATGTTTTTCGATATGTGCATATTATTTTAAACTTACCACATGCACATAGTGAGTGGTTCATCAGATCCCTCATTATTGAGCTGATGTGGGAAACCCATTTTTATTAAACTAGATTCGAGACAAACAGCCGCTGGGGGTGGATCAACTTGTTGAAACAGTAAATCTTTATAATGGTTATCATCAAGAATTATATTATAAATTCCATTAGTTTGATTAGCTAGTTGCCTACAAACATGTACTTCCGCCGCCAAGCCTATCACAGAACATCGTACGCCTTCTAGTTTTAAATTCTAAAAAAATAAAATGTTTATTAATTTATATCATGGTAATACGTAGAATAAAACCATTGTCTCTACAAGTTACGAAGCCATAGGCACTACGCCTATCGTTTGAGTGAGATAATGGATTGCTCATTCCCAGCTCATATCACTATATAGCAGTACCCAGATTTTTTATTCTATTACACTAGATATAATAATTGCAATTTACCATTAAACATATATTATCATTAATCATATTCCTTGAATAAAACTGTTTTATCAGAATTTTAAATTAAATAATTAAACGATCTGAAGCTACTAAGTAAAGCTTCTGCTTCAGCTCATCTGGAGAAGTTTCATGAGATGCTAAAGTTATATCATTCCCACAGAGTAGGACATGATCTGCACACTGTTGAGGAAAATTATTCACACATAACAAAAATATTAGTGGCCCCAAAACAGAGCCTTATAGTACTCCTCGTGTTAGACTTTTCAATTCTGATTTACAATTACCCACTTTTCACATATCTGTAATATTGTACTAATAAATATTTCATTTCTTACTATTTAATATAAAAACAATAGAACAATAATTGATATTCTTTATTTTTCTTTTTTTAATCTCATCAATCAGTTCCAATTTGGAAATGACCGAAAACCACAAAATGAGCAAAAACCAAAACAAATGACCCTACCTTATAAAGAGATGTTATTTCTCTGAGATTTCTGTTACTATTTTTGCTCCTGTTGATTAGACAAGCAATCTTCCATACAACATTCAAAAGACAGAAAGTCCACTAATGCAACACGTTGCGTGCAGATTGTCACATGTCATAGCGCTCGACAAGAGTTTAGATTTATTTGAATAACTGAAAGTCAATTAACACATTCTATCATGTGATCACATGCAGCTATAAATTAGGAACGACAAGTCCTGCAGCATGTGGCCAGTGGTACTTATCATAGATACATATGGAGCATCATTCTAAGTATGGACTTTCAGTGACACATTGATTCTGTTGGAGTGTTCCTGTTGGTTTCTCTATTGTTCCACACCCACAGTTTCAAAATGTCCTCCAATGACGACATTGATTTAGATGCATATTTATTTAAATAATGGATGAATTCAATGCCTACATTTCACTTTTTTTACAAAGAACATAACCCCGCTGTTTTCTTCCACCTCAAATTTGATATTGAATGTCTATATGACTGCTTATCTTCTATTATAAAACGCAAGTTAAAAAAAAATATGCGGTGGGGTACGTGTGACATGTTGCTTAACTTTGCTTTCTACCTTAGCTTACCTCAATAGTGTTCGAAATGTCTCCAGGATCACAAGTTGTAAGGCTACCCATTATTACCAATATCTCCCTACTAGCATGTGAGGGTAACAATTTTAAAGATGATAGAGCCATTTCTAAACCATTCTGTAGAGAAGGTTCACCTAATAAATTAGTTCTATTTAAATGGCTAAGAACTTTAATGTGTTTTCTATAGTTTCCAGCTAGTTCACTTATTTTTTCAGCTCGCTTATTTTGCATTAATATTATTCCTATTTGACTAATTGGATTTTGGTCAAAAAATTCTTCTAAAAATATTTCTAACAACTAAAAAAAAAATACAATTATTAATCCAATATAGTAGTACATATTATATTATTTTTACTTTCAAAGTACAAATTAATCTTGTAGGTTTAAGATCTTGACTGGACATAGATTCAGAGCAATCTAAAAGTAAAAATAAATGTCTCATCATTCCAAGTTTTTGACTTCCTTGTTTTAAAGCTTGTCGTTTTCTTTTGGCTCTTTGAACCATATCTGCTACACTAGCTTGAAGAAACCCCTCATCGTCTTCCTTAATAGCCTCCCTATTAAAATATAATTACATTTTTTAACTTTAGGTCATTGCATGTTTATAACAGAATATTTTTACCATGTTTTTTCATAACCAGTTTCCCATCGATATTCTTTAGGATCATCTTCCTCTGCCATTTTAATACAAATTATTTAAATAATTGGGTAATCTTCTTTATATAGCTTGTTTTCAATGAAATTTGTATGTTATGTTAACTACTTACAAGTTAGACATGATCGTTTTTAAAATTTTAATTTGTTAAGATTATAGGTTATGTGTTGTTTTTGTTGTTATTTTTATAAATATAAGGTTCTAGGATCATTGTAGCATAGAGTAACAGGATAGCCGAGTTCTCCGATTTCTTACCCGTAGCAGAGACAACCCGTAGCGGCAAATCCGTTACGTCCACATCAGGTACGCTTTCGGCGCAGGTTATTTGAAATGTACAGAGATACATCGTCTGTTTTTAAATAACGCCGTTTAACTTTTTTTATATAAAAAATAAACTTTTTTGTTGTATTTTGTGTGAAAAGTGATTTTCCACACTCGTAATGTAATATACTATTTCGTACATATAGAAATTTGAATTTAATAAGAATGCAACTTTTCTTTAACAAAATGGAATTAGTAAAATTATTAAGGTACCTGGGTGAGGTAGGTTACAATAACGAAAAAAAAAAAAAACATGTTATATACTACGTACAAATTACTTGAAAATCATTTATTGAAAAGAAATATTGTATTATACCTAATTTAATTAAGCGAACAACAAAGCTGATAACTTTGTCACTCGGCGAGTGGCAAAACTGTCACTTAATATCAGTTCGCGGAAAACGTCAATTTTGCGGTAGGATTTTGAAGCTCAAAACCATACTTTGGATAGTAATTGTAGCAAATTAGCTATTTGTGTATTAAGAGCGAAAAGTGATACTTTGCCGCTTGAGACAGAAAGTTTCCCGCGCGACGCGTAGCGGAGCATGGCAATCTGCCGAAAGCGGCAACGAACTTTTCGCTCAAAATGCACAAAAGATTTTTCTACGATCACACTTTTTTAAGAATTAGATATTATGTGTTGCCTATACCTACCTACGATAATCATAAAAAGAGCAGTTGATATTCAAAGTCCATGTTAACTTCTGGATAATATAACAAAAAAACATGTAACTACTTATAAAAAACTTCAAAACCATTTATTAAAATGAAATATTAATTATAATTTAAATTAGGCGAGCAACAAAGCTGTCAAATTTGTCGCTCGGCAACAAAACTGTCACTTAATGTCAGTTCGTGGAAAACATCAACTTTGCGGTTAGATTTCGAAGCGCAAAAGCCTACTTATTTGGATAGTGATCGTAGACAATATTTATTATTACATAGTTTTACGAAAAAAGTTCATAATAAATAGTTCTGTCACAAACTCAAAAACTGTTGAAAAAGACAAAATAATAATAATAATAATAATACGATATTTTTGTAACTTCATTCACTTTAAAATTCTCTTATTTGAAAATTCGGAAATATGTCTCAAAATTCCTCTACGAATTATTAAGACCATCCCCGAACCCAACGGTGAAAACACATACTTGGAGGTTTGAAAAAGTCTGTCAGTGCCAGGATTCGAATCCAGCCATCTTTATTCTGTACACAAATTCCCTACCTCTGGACCATCGTGACATTGACTGTCGAGATTCCCAGCCGGTAGTTTGATGTGCTAATTCGGGCCAAGCGCTGTTTCAAACTCGTTTTCAAATCTTCAAATACCTCTTATAGACAGCATCGGTCTATATGAGAAATGCATTTATGCATATTGAGCCCATATTTTCGTCGGCGTGAGTTAAGTTTATGTTAATTTTTTAGTACGTTAAGTGACGTAAACCTGAGTGCGGAACAAATATGTCTGGATTCGAATCCTGTCGCTGACAGGCTTTTCCTCAAATCTCCAAGTATGTGTTTTCACCTTTGGGGTTCGGGGATGGACTTAATAATTAGTAGGGGGATTTTTGAGATTTGTTTCCGAATTTTAAAATTATTCTACAACTTCTTTCAGATAATTCTGACCTTTCGGATTTCAATTTGCCATCTATGATATATTAAATTCACATTTTTTTTACTCGGGTTTAAGACGCTTAACGTACATTGAAAACTTAACTCACGCAGATGAAGATATGGGCTTAGTATGCATAAATGCATTTCTCATATATACCGATGCTGTCTAGAGGTATTTGAAGACTTGAGAACGAACCTGAAACGGCACATTAAACTGCCGCGCCGGCTGGGAATCTCGACAGTCAATGTCGCGATGCGGTCCAGAGGTAGGGCATTTGTGTACAGAACAAAGATGTCTGGGTTCGAATTATGGCGCTGACAGGTTTCTTTTCGAATCTTCAAGTATGTGTTTTCACCTTTGGGGTTCGGGGATGGTCTTAATAATTCGTAGGGGGATTTTTGAGATTTGTCTCCGAATTTTCAAATTATTCTACAACTTATTTCAGATAATTCTGACCATTCGGATTTCGATTTGCGATCTACGATGTATTAAATTCACAATTTTAACCTCATAGTGACTGCTAGGGTTGCCACCTTTTTGAAAAGTGAATAAAGGACTACGATACTGACAGGGGCTCCGGTATGCAAGTCCTTGTCCATATACTCAATTTCTAAAAAAAGGGCTCAGCTTATATATTTTTGTACAAACCATGTCCCTTCCTTAAGATATGTGCTGCAAAAAAGACATTTGCCGTAAAAAAAGACATCTTAAGCTCCAAAGACATTTTGCTTCAAAAAAGACTTTCCTTTTCAAAAAATCTGATGTGTCCAACACATGACTTTCCTATCTAGGTATTACAGGCTTTTTCCGGTTATTTTGTACAATCTATTGCAGCATCTCTATAAATGTTTAGAGAATAAACTAAATATATACATTGTCCACATACATCTACCGCGAAACATTTTTCTATAGATATTCATTGAAAATGAAAATACTGAAAAATTTAAATTTAGCACTTTTCCTACAATTTTTCCATTACGGTCCATTTTAAAAAAATCATGTATAAACAAATATTATAGAGATCGATATCGCAAACAACTTTTATTTCAACAATTTTCATAAAAATCAGAATTTTGCACATTTTGTCAAATTTTTCGAATACGGACCATTTCAGGAAATTTTTGCATAAAGCAAAAATTATAGATAATAATATTAGAAGTAACTTTTATTTGAACAATTTTTTTCTTCAAACATAAATAACAGATATATTCCATAAAATATAAAAACGGCCTCCCATAAAGTACCCCCCCAGATGTTCCGACTTTGTCCAAAATCTAATCATTTCACGTCAGGCCGAAATAAAACTTAAGTTTAAAATTTAATGTTTTGTTCTTTATCCATTTTTGAGTTTTCTTCAAATTTCGAAATTTACACATTTTCTCAAATATCTCGAATACGGTCCATTTTAAAGAAATTATCTATAAAATAAAAATTATAGAGAATTATATTACAAACAACTTTTGTTTGAACAATTTTTATAAAAAAATTATTTTTTTACATTTTGTCAAATTTCGCGAATACGGACCATTTTAGGAAAATTTTGTATATAACAAAAATTATAGATAATAAAATAAGAAGTAATTTTCATTTGAGGAATTTTCTTCCCCAAACGTAAATAACAGATATATTCCATAAAATATAAAAATGACCACCTATAAAGTACCCCTCCAGATGTTCCGACTCTGCCCAAAATCTAATCAGCTCATTAGACGCTGGAACAAAGCTTAAGTTTGAAATTTGGTGTTTTTCCGTGTATCGGTTCATTAATTATGCGTTATACAGACACACACACACACACACACACACACACACACACACACACACACACACACACACACACACACACACACACACACACACACACACACACACACACACACAGACACACACACACACACACACACACACACACACACACACACACACACACACACACACACACACACACACAGACACACACACACACACACACAGACATCATCGCGAAAATAGTCAAAACGGATTCAGGGGACCTCAAAACGTAAAAATCCGTCGAAAACTCGAGGTCGAAAAAAATCATGATTCCTATACTTTCCTTATATCTGTATACAGATAGGAAAGTAAAAAGGACAGGCGGCTATCCTAGTGACCGCCCAAATTCTGAACTGATGGATACGTCATCAACCGCACGGTAAATAAGTAAATAACGCAATGTTTCTTATGAAGCTAATCTATCCTGTACTCTGTAGTAAACATTGGGCAGGGACAACCCGACGAAGGTGTTTGTAAATACGGATACGAACATGCACGAACTACTGGCTATAATGTGGTAATCGAAGGTCATATCACAATGGTCATAATATCGTGTAAAAACTTAAATCAACTTAAATAGGTAATACTTGGCACATTATTGTAAACTTAAAATGTTTTTAAATGCGATAGTTTAAAAAGGTAGATATACTTATTGCAATTCTTGAAGAAAAAAACAAGTTTAAATTATTTACGTTAACCAGTTTAGTGTTAAAAATCTTAAATGATTTTAAATTCAGTTTATTTTAACTTTCATGTATCGTTTATATTATTCATTTATTTTTAAATAACAAACTACTATATACTTTTTCAATTGAATATTTTTATTTTACAAATTTATTTCAAATTGTAAAAAGAGAGTGAGGAGCGGGTTTTAATTTAGAAAGTAGTTTTGATTATTATATGACGTCCAATGTCTAAATTTACATACCTATGCCTCCCATGATGTTTATCAGTTAGAAATGAAATTCCTATAATTTAAAAAAATATCCCTTAAATAAAAGTTCATTTCAATCACCTTAGTGATACATAATTTTTATTTGATTTAATACGTAATGCATTTAGGGATATTTTCCTATAATTCTTGCTGAATATTTAAATTAAAAATGACGCCACGTACGAATTTGCCGCTACATCACTGCTCGTTAGTAGCACGGTTGCCATTTAGTATTTAGTGAGTGGCAGCACTTTCGCTATGTTTGGAACGCTTGTGGTGAATCTTTACGTAAAATAGAAATAATAAGGTAATTTTTCGCTTTCTATTTGTCAAATATGTATCATTCTGCGCCCAATTTGCTCAATTTTAGAATGAAATATTAGTTTATTACAAAAAATTATGTTCACGTCAAGGAATGCGTTCGATTTAGCACACACGGCGACCACAGCCATTTTGTACAGTCGTCATCAGTCATCGAGGTCGACGCGAAAAATCGACGAAATTTTACCAATTTAAATTTGGTGGCTTAATATTTTATAATATTTGAGGTTTCAGCCTGTATTATTGAAAATTTAGATTTTTGTCACTGTTTTATGCATGAATATTTTTCAGCCGTCAAATATAGAAAACAGTTTTGACTGCGATTTTAATGGAAATGGATGAAAAAACGGAATTATCGTCTACGGACCCCACGGCGGAGATACTCGAGCCACCAGTAGTTTCTCTTGCCGATGAGATTGACAGCCAAGTTACCGATACAAGCACAAGCGCGGGAACTGATGACGCCAACCTAGAAACACAAACAGAAGTTCGGGCTACTGAAGTCGATAACGATACAAATACGTTAATTTCTGAATTAAACGACGTTTCTTTGTCCACTGCAAATACAGACACCGACACATTTTTGGAATCTCTTACTTCGGAGAATCACACAGAGCCTGCTGAAAATACAGTTTCTGAGGAACAAGCTGCTGATGTCACAGATACTACTGACATATCTGTGCCTACTTTGGCCTTACCAATGGATGTTACGGAGCATGATGCCATAGATTCACATGATAAACCTATTGATAGTGAAGAAAAAGATCCTGTATGTACCCTCGAGGAAGAATTGCAAAGGATGCACGAAGGAGACGATCAAGGCATAGAACTTGATGATAATACTGAAAATGAGAAATTTGAGAAAGAGGAAATTAAACCCAACGTTGATGTTTCTAAAGATAAAGTAGAAGCTCCTATAATGAGAGACTCAGATTTAGAAGAAATGTTGTCTGCTGATGAAGTTTTACAGGACCCCTTAACAATTAAAGGTATGTAATTATTATAATCTTTATGTAACTTACCTTTGAATTGAACTTACAACTTTGTTAACAAAAAAATTAATTTTCTCAAAACATTTTTACCTCTATCAGTTCTATGTCCAGTTTAGTCTGGCCGTTATGTGCAAATACACAGTCATATCTATAGATAAATCAAGCTGGAACAATGAACAATCTTTCTATTCTTGAACTTTTAAGAAAAAAAAAATCAAAGTACAAACAAAAAACTTTGTCAAAAGAATTGAAATTCAATCATAAATATACTAAAATAAAATAAAAAAATATGCACACTGTATTGTGTTGTTAGGGTTCGGTTGGTGTATATCAAAACACGGAAGGTACAAAATTTCTATTCCGGATATTGAATATATAAGAAGAATGATTATGGAATTAGAACCTTACTCTATTAGCGAATATTTAGATTCTAATTTAAATTGTTTTGTTTTCGACATTTCATTCTGTGCTGTCAGTTATAAATATTTGTATTGTATCTGTCAACTTTTTTTGAAATAAAGATTACTATTATTAGGCATTCCAACGACCTGTCCAAATGGCTACCAGTGGGTAATGACAGTTTAGATATGGCAACCCTGTTGTCATTAACAGGGTCAATGATACATATATAGTTATATAGATAGCTCAAAGCTGGTCGTTTACGAGCGGCCATATTGTCTGGTAAATATTTATTAATTTGAATCGGTTTAGCAAAAATGTGTTTTAAAACCAATTTAGGTATTTAAAAAAATAATTGCTTATATTTTTACTTTAAGGCATAAGCTTATGTTTATTTTAAAAAATATGGATGATCAATCTATGTAACTATCTATTTCATTGATCTTGTCAAATCATCAGGCCTACAGGGTTGCCATAATTTTGCCATATCATAACCCGTCAAAACCCACTGGTAGCCATTCAGTTTGGAATGCCTAATTATGATATTGTCAATGTCGAGCGGTTTCCCATGTGTTGGGTTGTCATGTCAAGTGTCCATCATGAAATGTCATTTGACATTCAACGGGTGACAGTAGGGTACTTCGACAATAATAGGCGATTTTAAATCAGTTACTAGAAATGTGACCAAGTCAAGTGTGGTCAAGGTTATTACGTCATTATAATGATGTTCTATTAATCTGATTTAAAAATGTTTTGTTTATATTGACACTAACTTGACAATGCGCATGCCTTGTCAGATATCGCGAATTTGAATTTTTGTTTGTGTATTATGTATTGTAGTTAGGATTTGGTTTTGAATTTGTAAGGATAAAGAATAAATAGGTATTTGTTTTGTTTACTGATTATGGATGAAGAGAAAATTGGTGTTGTAGTTGCTTTGGACTCTGAAATTTTATCAAACCTTTTGCCATGTTCATCAATAAATCTTGGCTATCTTGAAAATAAATAGGATTTTCATTTACAAAAACCTTATCTAGGTACTCAGCTAGGGTTGCCAGATGTCCCGCTTTAGGCATACTTTTTAACTTGATGTCAAAGAACGAAAATGCCCCACATTTCATCTATGCTATGCTTTTTAAATCCAAAGTTATATATAAAGAAATTTTTGACATTTTTTCACCTTTGAGAAGCTTCTCAGAAAAAGGACCTCATGGTTTATAAAAATATAAGTGGAGGACCTTTTTTTAGATCTTCACAAAGAAAGGAGCTTATTTTATAAAAATACCTGTTTTTTTTTTAACCTGATATCCATGTCGTCACCATTGTCCCACTTTTCCCTTTCGTAAATCTGGCAACCCTATACTCAACCTTTCTTTTGATTTTACAAATAACAACCAACCAATAATTTAATAATTAAAAAGTAAAAGTTTTACATTTGACATTTCATACTTGTGATGACCACGTTTTTACTGTAGTCATGTTAAACTTGACCATTTCAAGACAATATTCAATATGACATCATTGTTTTTGATTTATATCTGTAGTCATTCATATTCAAGACATAGTATCTGATTTAAAATCACCTTATTAATCTAACCTGGGTTAGTAACCAATGTTACCAACTACCGTTACACAAACATTTTATAAGCAGTACTGAAAAGATTAAGACTTCAGTCCTGCTTTGCCTATGTTGGAGTTCATAGTATAGTAAATGACATTCATATGTGCAGGATAGGATAATAAATTGACGTTACCAGTTACAGGTTGGTAATATGCTACTCCTAATACAAGCAATCCATTACTGAAAGTTTGATTTTGATAGCACTGTATTTTTCAAATAAAATGATTTATTTGCTTATCAAAAACTTTTCCAGTGTTTTGGCATCTTACACAAAAAATATATAATTAAAATGTAAAATACAACAAAATACCTTGGTATCATAATTGATCAAAATTTAAAATGGAGTGATTACATTCAATAATTAACAACCAAAGTTAAAAGATTTTTATTTTTAAATTTTATGAGTTAAGGAAATGTATGACTAGCGGCTTACTAATGACTATTTACAACTCACTGGTTGAATCAGGTGCGTGAAGTTGCCCCCCCCCCCCCCCCCCCAATGATATTTAAAAACTATTGCACCATAATGCACT